ATGAAAACATGTGCCCACAGTAAACTTTCCATTTGGTACCTTATTTTGAAAACATAATCAAAAGTGATATTACTAAATATTGATGCTGCCTGAACATCTGCAGGGGTCTTTACAAATGGTACAGTAAACACATCATTGTATTTGCACCACATAGCCCTGTGAGGGGTGATATCCTTAATAAGCAATTATTGAAAATTCATATTCAATATATAAAACAAATTTTATATATTGAATATGAATTTTTACCACTCATTTCTTCTTCTATTGCTTCTGGACACTGAGTATGCAGAACAAAACCTCCCCAAGTTAAGAAGCACAATAGGTGTGTGCAGAGTGGTTTGGAGCAGAGACCTAAACCAGGTCTTTATCAGATTAAAAATGTATCTGCCTTCGAGAGGTAATGACAACTGTAACATGAATTTTCCAAATTTGAAGATGGTTGGGACTTTGATCTACAAAAATATATAAAGAAATTATTTTTGAAGAATAAGTAAATTCAAAACTTCCTAAAATTGTGATGCTATGAAGTTTCTCCAAGTAAAACAGTCTAGAGAAAATAAAGTTTATTACAGAAGAAGCATGTAAGTTTTTAAGCCTATAAGTTATAGTGTTAATTATACAAACTTGGCATTGTTATTACAATATGAAAAGGGTTTATAATCATTTATCTGATGACAAATATTTACAATGAAAAGGCCAAGTCGTAAATATACATTCAAAGTTCATATATTCTAGTCTACCTTAAGATGACCAAATTAATTAAAAAGAAATACCAATGACAAAAATCAAAATGAGGGCAAATATTGTATACCATTTACAACTCCAACACTGCTGAACATTTCATAGCCCCAACACAGTCTAAAACTTGTTAAAATTTTAATGCTAAAACAAATAGCAAGAAATAGCACGCTAAATTTTTTTTTTTAATTTTTAGTTAAATTCCCCATCTTTTGTCTTCATTTTTTTCAACATAACAAAGACTAATCTTACGTAATTAAAGGAAGAATAATAGACAGCAAAAGATCATTCTCTGCCAATATTTGTTCAAGAATGTTTACTAAATGCTGCTGGGAAATACATTTTAAGATTTTGGAAGCTTAGGATCCATCAAGTACCTGATTTCCTAAGTTCCTTCAGAAAATTATTGTGGATTGTTTTCAAACTGAAAAATTGGTTCAGGAAATTTAGATTTATGGAACACTCTCAATGAATTTTTTATTCTGGGGGATGGCACACACACCTAATAGTAGTAGCATTTTAAAGCCAATTTCTTGAGCATTATCTAATACTTGGACAATGATAATTATTGTCATATCTCAGCATTCTGGAACACAACATTCTCCTACATTATTTAACAAGATGGCCAACTTGTTCAGAAAGACTTTTTAAAAAAGTGGTTGAATAAAAAGATCTTTATTTTTTTTCTGAACAAGTAGCTAAAGAAATCACACAGAAACTATCCTGAGATTTTCTTACATTCATCCTGGTTACATAGGTAGGTGAGTACTACATTCAGAATAGCACTTGGCTTATGAACATCAGAAAACCCACATGAGTTGTGAAAATGTTTTAAATAAGTAAGTACAATGAACAGAAAGCAAGAGGAAATTTGAAAATACTCCTGATTTCCCAGAATCAACATAATCAGATTCAATGCAAAAGTGTTAAAATTTCAGACCTGGAGAAAACTGAAAAAACTTGCTATATGCTAATTAGCCTGATTTGATCACTCTGCAAAGCATACATGTATTGAAACATCACACTGTAACCTATAAATTATATATATATTATTTGCCAATTAAAAAGAAAATAAGTGTAAAAACAAATGCTATACCAAACATAATTTTAAGCCTTTTACAAGAGAAAAGAAAAAACTCAGAAAAAGCAGTAGATCCAGTCAAACTTTTCTGAACAGAAGCTTTGCAGTTTAGAGAAGAAAAAAGTACAGTCTAAGAATTCTATTGCCAACCAAATAGTCATGCATGTTTTAAATTAACTAGAAGACAATATTGAATCTCTAAGGGCACAATCTATATACTTTTGTATTTGGAAATATAAAAGATATACCTGGAAGAGATTCTCAATTTCTAAGTCTACCTGAAATTCATTAAATAGATGGAGAAATTCAATTACATAAACACACACTTATCTATGCATATATAAATATATATGTAAACTTTTTTCCTAAGAAAAAATTAAGCTTAAAGTATGCAATCTTAATCACCTTTCTTTTCTTCAATAAATAAATTTTCAGAATGAACAATTACGAAAATAATTAAAGAAGATAAAAGAAAACAAAACTTCTAGTGATAAAAAAAAATTGATATTATTATTATTATAGTGAGGCCTCATTTTAGGCATAAAAATCAGGGCTGGAACTTCACCAGTCTACTGCTTTGGAATTTTTGGATAATCTTTTAAGGATTGAGCCTGAAGGCCCTAAGCCCTCAGGATATCATGTATAAATTAAACATATATAACAGTAGAAAAACCAAATGCACACACACATATGTGTATGTGCCTACGTGTGTGTATCTTACCAAATTATTTACACATGTATATACATACACATATATACATAAAATACCAAAAATAAACTGCTATATTTTTTCATTAACAAGGTGAATAGATACCCACTTGAAATGGTTGGCTTCAAGGTAGTTGAAGTCTAAGTTAATTTTTGGACATAAAAGGAATAAACTTTTATCATTCTCGCTTGATAGCACTGTGTATAAATACAGCCTATGTGGGGAAGAGAAAGGATATGGTTTGCCACCTGTCAAAGTTATTCTCCAGAATAGTTAATGTTCAAAAACAGTATTTAAATACTGACCGTCAAGATGGTATCACAAATCTAACAGGAATAATAAATACTGGTTTATTAAAGATTTTTGTTAATAAATAAAGCAAAGCATAAATAACAAGTTATGAGTGTGTATTATACAAGAACTGGACTCCAATCAGAGGATCCTTGCTCAAAGAATAGTCTGACTTGGCATTGGCCAAATGTTGAGAGAGTGAATAAATAAGACAATAAAAAACCTTAAATAATATACATGTAGTTTGTAATGATTTCTCCATATAAACCAATTAGATAAACTGGAAAAGAACTAGTTTTTAAATAAGATGACTTCAGTGGCAGTCTTAGAGCTTGTAAAACCACAAATGCAATTTTAGGTTTAATTTCATTTTCTCTTTGGAATGAGGTTGCAACATATCTATTTTTTTAATTAACCTTATGAAGTTAAAAAGAGGACCTCGAGGCCACCACATGCAAAGAGCATTTCGTCATTGATACTGTCCTTCAAATCATCGCAATTTATGGCATGTACTGATTTCCATGGTGCTACTCCAGAGAAAGGTATGACATTTTATCTATCAATCATACAAGTATCTTTGCCAAATAATATCAGGCATAGTTATTGTAATTTTTATTTTAAAATAAAAATAGCACATTCAATTTTTTTCTAGGGTATATTATATGGAAGTAATCCTAATATTCCCATCCTCAAAAACAGTCATATTCACGTACCCTAACTAGACTGCAACAACAGGGATTATATTCATAGAGAATGGACAGACCAAGTGCTTTGCTCAGAACTGTTATTTCTTGATTCTTATAGTCTTTTCCTTCATTTAGCTATCTGGCTGGGTTTGAAACTTCTGTTGTTTTATGAATGCCGCTAGAATTTTTTGATATGCTTTTGGTTGCATATTTGGTGATGTCCTGGTAATCTGGAATTCTGAAAGCAAACAAACAAGCAAGCAAGCAAGCAAGCAAGCAAAAGCTTGACTTGTAACATTTACCTATTTCCAAATTGCAAATATTCCCATTATGGTCAGTTCAAGCCATCACCATGTCACTGAATTCGAAGTTGAGAGGAGATGTGTACCGCACGTCTTAATGAAATAAAGCAAACTGACCCAGTGTAACACTGTAGTGAATAAATACTGCCTCTAGTTTGTGTTCATTCTAATAGTCTCTCAAAATGTTCAAAGACCTTTTAGTGAGTTCTAATATATTTCATTTAAGAAAATCACAGTGAATTTTTTAACAAAATTAAAAATTTTAAGCAACAGACAACATTTTATTAAGCTATAAAATAACAAAAACACATTTTCCAAATAAGTACTTTAAGTAAAAATAAAAAGGTGCATCTACTTGATGATCATTGATGTTCACCATAAACAATACCACCCAAAGCTTGCAAACCATGTTTATGTTAGAGAGTTTGGGGAATGCAAGTGACCACACTATCTGATAAAATTGAAAATATTCATTATGTATCTTAAGAATCTAGCTGCAATACTTTATTCTATAAAGTTCATTATGTTAAAATGCTTGTGATGCTGTAAGGTAATTAGTATCTAAATACAGACCATACCAAGTACAGGGGTTGGCAAACTTTTCTGTAAAGGGCCAATGAATAAATATTTTACGTGTTACAGACCATCCAGTCTCTGTCACTAATGCAGTCTGCTATTAGAGCAGGAAGCACCCATGCTGGGTATGTAAATTTATGATCAAGGCTGCATTCCAAAAAAAAAAAAAACTGTTTACACAAACAGGCAGCAGATGGATTCAGCCTGGGGTCACCCATAGTCTGCTGTCCCAACTTTAGTGTGTATTGAATCGTCTGAAGTTTTTGTGGCTGTGGTTTTAATATGATTTTTCTTGATATTTATGAAACATTCATCCAGATCACTGAAGTTTGTTAATAAAATTGCCTCAGTCAGTCACAAATTTTGACTAAGCGTTTCTTCAACAGGAGATTCCAGTAGCCATCCAACGGCCAAAAGGACAATGCAATTGAAAATAAAATGAATATATTTGTGGACAAAAAATGTTTTTTTACATTACTATAGTAAAAATTCACAATTAGCCATTAGGATAGAGGTTTACCAAGACAGTAGAGGATGAGAACATTTGCATGCTAAGGTAAAATACATTTAATATGAGGATATTCATTTCACTCTACTTGAAACGTTCTCATTCTTACCTTCCATGAGTTTCCCTGTTTGTTCTGCGCTTCCCCCAGGAAGAATCTTGGCGATATAGGCTCCAATTTCTCCACTATGTCCAGGAATTTCTTTACCACCTACAATTCTAATTCCTAATCCATTACCTGTATTGAAAAATCAGCAAATTATTAGTAATAATTTAAGAAGGGAAAATAGTTATCATAAGTTACAGGGTGCATAAAAAGTGGGCCTGGTAATCAGAAGCTAAGTACAACATGACTATTAGAAATTAACACCTATAACAAAATCAATTCATTCTGATTCTAGTAATAATTGATATAAAATAGCATTTTTTTAGATCTTGGAAGTCTCTGTAATGATTAACCTAATATTAGAGAACTGTTTTTGGAATATAACCATATACAGTCACACATTAAGGCTTTACACATTTTGACCACATATTTTGTCAAAATTTGATAAGAGTATGTCTGCAGAGCTTACAATTTACTTATGGAATAGAGGAGTATTTTACTTATAAAAACACAGTAACAGCTATCATAAGTTAAAGAATACAAATATACAAATGATTGCAATTGATAAAATGAAAACCTGATCATAATCTGTAAGTTCTCATTTATTTTTCAGCTTGAACTAATTAATTAATATTTGTCTATTAACATGGCACTTACTACAAGGGATAATAAATTATTCCTGACTGGTAAACAGCTTCATAAACTGTTCCTTATTCCATAGTATAGACTTTTCTATAATTAATCATATGGATAAACGATAGAGAATAATTATTATGAGAAAGCTAATTGAGATAAATACGAACGGTTGATAGTTTTAGTATGTGTGTTCATTTAAACAGCAAAAATCAGCACGTGTATACAGTACTGAACATATCTAAACATAGAAAAGACACAGAGAAGCACCTATGTCATTCATCATTGACTGAAATGTTACATGACTAGGGTGACCAGACCTCCGATTTTGGCGGGACAGTCCCGCTTTTCAACAATGTCCCACGTCCCGCGGCGTTTTAAAAAAGTCCTGATTTTTGGAAAGAATGCACAAACAGGCTGGAGAACAAGAAGGGAATATA